AATAATTGTGCTAGTCATGAGGAAAAAACAGAAAAGATTATAGTGATTGAGTTCTTTAAGTTTCCAAATAGGAGAAAGCATAGAACCATAAAGTTTAGTTTTTGCAGTTCCCTTTGTTCATCAGGACTTTCCCTGATTTCAAATCACCAACTACTACTTGACCTTTAATATCAACCTGAATGCCATACCCTCTAGGAAGCCTTCTCTAACTCCAGGAATTGAGTTAAGTATACCTTTTTAGGTGCTTGGGCACTTGTCCTTTGATGCAAAACAGCATCTCCCGCTGGGAGTCTACCAGACTTGAGATAATATTACAGCACAATGTTCTTGAGTCCATATTTGCTAAGAATCAATAATATAGTAGGATATTTGAGTACCTGCTACATTAGAGGCCAAATGACTATGTCGAAACTGAAGAATAAAGAGAAAGAGTTTTATAGTGTGAGACAATAGTTTTCAAACATTAGTGTGCTTTGAAATTTTCTGAAGGGATTAGTAAAACCCAGCTTCTGGGTCCCATTGCTAGAGTTTCTGAATTGGTAGCTCTAAGATGGGGCTAATAATTTACATTCTTATAAGTTTCAGGGCAAGGTTCCCAGCACAGTATAAGAATTACAATTTGACTACCATTTGTCTTAGTAACTGGCAAAGGGGATTTAAAACTTTCACCTCTTGCTCCATGCTATATGCAATCTAATGTAGTCCTTAGCGACAATTCAGATTTTCTTTAATAGTCCTTAAGACTGAATTGTGAAATTTTCTTCTTTAACTGGGTCTATTTACCATCACACCACCATATTACCTAAGAATCAGTAAACCTACTTTACAGTTAGCAAGTGATTTTTTTTTTTTTTGAGACAGAGTCTCACTCTGTTGCCCCAGGATACAATGTCATGGCATTAGCCTAGCCTAGCTCATAGCAACCTCACACTCCTGGGTTAATTAATTATCCAGCCCCAGCCTCCTGAGTAGCTGGGACTATAGCTGCCTGCCACCATGCCACCACACCTGGCTAGTTTTTCTGTTCTTAGTAGAGACAGGGTCTCGCTCTTGCTGAGGTCAGTCTTAAACTCCTGAGCTAAAGCAATCCTCCTACCTTGGCCTCCCAGAGTGCTAGGATTACAGGTGTGAGTCACTGTGCCTGGCTTATGAGGTGATTTTTAAAATATTCATATTATATTTTTTTAATTTCAGTAAGTTATCTTAGATATACTGATTGAATCTATTACATAGCATTTAATTAAAGAATTCAAACTATGCAGAAATAATTTCATCTAGTATTTTCCAAGATCTAAGTGGAGAGGAAAGGTCGTTCAATTGACAGCTGAGACAACTAGAGTTCTTTGTCCATTTAGTAAGTTTTAGATATGGGGTTAGTTCTTATTTTGCTGTTAAAATGTCTGCACTTTTCTTTGAAATATGTCTGTATGTACAGCATGATATTATATATGTTTGGTTAAGCCAACCCAGAGTCCAGGATGGTCTGTTAATGTCCTAATCAAAGGTGCACAGTTAGGGGCAGTGGGATGGGAGAGGAAGGAAGAGAGGGTTCTTGGGAAAGCCATCCTGGAGGCAGCCCATCCATGTGCTTCTGTCATTCACTCACAACTCAGTCAACAATGGGCCTTTTATTAACTAGCATAGTGAATGTCAGAGATGCATTTTTATTTGTAAAATTGATGACTTGTTGACTAGTAGAATTAATATTAGAAATGGACTCTGATTGGTAACATTAAAATTCTTTAAGATCTGTGGATTAGCTAAAAATATTCCATAAATGTTCTCTGCTCTTACATCAAAAGACAAAAAAACCAAGAGGCCTTATATGCATTACTCTTAGGGATGGTGTCCTAGTAAGTCACTAAAGGGTCTTGCATCTGTCCATCTGTCCATGAGCTCTAGAGGATTCCATCAGCTTGATGCCTGCTCTGAAATGCAGCATTTGTCTCACCAAGAACTTAAGTGCAAGATGGTGATAAGAGAAGTTAATAGTAAAGAAAACTGGAGTTCTCCAAACATTCAGAAGAAATTGTACTAGCTCTGTGCAGATGTGTGTGTATGCATTTGTATACGTGTGTGTGTGTGTGTCTGTATGTTTAATCTTAAGAGTCCCTTTGAACCTACACGAGAGAGGGAACAGAATCAGGGTCTGGCATTTCTCTTCAGTTTTCTAGGCTACTATCAAAACTCCTGAGGGAAAATATAACACAACCCAACAAGGAATCCTTAAATGCTTTTCAGATGGGAAGTGACCACAGACTTAGGTCCTACAATATAGTAACCTGAGAGAGAAGGGTTGTACTAGAGCACAGGACAGAGATGGGAAGGCAAATGGCAGATACTTCAGAAAGCTCAGGAATCACCTGGGTGATGGTTGTTGTTTGAGATGCCCGTTTTCAGTGACAGTAGATTAGGTCACTTAGTTCAAATATTCTGCTGAGAATAATTGGGACAGCTGGACATTTGATTTTTAAACTCTGCTTGAAGATATCAGAAAGCCAACAAGATAGTAAATATTACCAGGCTATGATCTGACATAGACTCAGAAATGTGAGTCTGGGATTTGCCACTAATGAAGTTGGCCTGAACAAGGTCTACAGTTCAGTTTTAAATAATCTGAATTGCTGAAATCAGCAATTCTAGATTGTTAATATCCTCAGATTTCTGAATTCTTCTCTACACTAAAATAATAGTGACCTAGGCCTCAAATGATTTTTATAAAGGATATTACAGCATAATATCTGGCCACAATAAAAAGGAAGTATACTCACATGTGAACAAGACTACACGATTGAAAACCAGCAGAAACATTAAACATTAGAGTGATATGTTGATTGTGTACCAATATTGGAGTTTTAATTAAGGCTTAAAAATAACTATGCTTACTATTTGTAAAGAAAGGGAAGACTGAGATTTATATCAGAAACTATGAACTCAATGGATATTTGAGTCATATCAATATCAATGGATATTTTAAAACTGAAAAATATAATATTTGAAGTTAAGAACTTAAAGAATGGGTTTAATAATATATTGAACACAGATGAAAGAAAATAAGTAACCCAGAAGATAAGTCTGAAGAAACTAAACCCAACAAGGCCTGGAGAGACAAAGGATAATAAATACTACATACAGGAGTATGAGGATGGGACATGCTGAGAAGGTTTGATGTATATGTCATTGCAGTCCCAGATAACAAGAAAGAAAAAATAAGCATTATTTGGATTTGCAATGACTGAGAACTGTCCAAACTGATGAAAACCATTAATGCACAAATTCAGGAAGGCCTAAAACTCAAGCATGATGAATAGAAACAATATTACAAATATTACATATTATTTTATGATAGTAAAAGTGTAGAAAATCAAAAGCAAAAGGAAAAGCAGATTAAGATTTAAATAACAATTCACCAAGCAACAGTTAGAACAGATGACTTCTAAACAGAGTTGAGGCAGCTAAAAGGCAATGAAATGATAGCTTTAAAGTATTTAAACAAAACCATTGCCACCCAAATACTAGAATACAAAAAAAAAAAAATCCTTGAAGAATGAAGGACTAAACAAATGTCAATTGTGTGAAATAACAATAATGATTACTTGGTTAACAGATACAGATAGAGATGTACCTCATTAGCATGACAGGTAAGACACACGTGGGTTAAATAGACAAGGGACTTTGTATCATTGGGGAATTTAGAAAAACATTAATTTATATTACACTTAACTAAGTCTAAGATACATGCTTTAATCTTAATGGTAGTTCCTAACAGTAAAAGAATATATAACTTCTGAGGCTATAAGGAACAAAATGGACCTCCTCTGAGCAAGGGGGAATTTGGCCAGCATACTGTAAACTTAGCCTAATTATTAGCCTTCCAGCCTTCCCTGAAGATTTTGGACTTGTACCTCCTCAATCACATTAGCTGATTCCTTAAATTTCTCTCTCTCTCATTTTCTCTCTCTACACACACACACACACACACACACAAACACACACACACCCTCTTGCTTATGTTTCTTGGGAGAACCCTGACTAACACAATATTCTAAGGCTGAGCTTTAGTTCTCAACAACTTGGCTTGACCTCCAAACTCTTACCTGACAAAAATGCAGAGATCCATCAGAGCTGTGTCCTTGCACTTATTCATTTATAACCTTGTGGGGATTGGTAGCATCAGGCTCCCCTCTCAAAGATTTTTTAATCCTTGGAACCTGTGTCTATGTTACCTTATATGGCAAAAGAGACTACAGATAAAGTTCAATTAAGAATCCTCAGATGGTGAGGGTATCCTGGATTGTCCAGGTGGGCTCAATATCATCACGAGGGCCTTTCTGAGTAGGAGGCAGGAGGCTCAGAATTAAAGCCAGAGAATATGTGACAACAGAAGCAGAGGTCAGATTGCATTACTGCATTGTGGGAAGGGGCTGTGAGCCAAGGAATGCAGGCAGCCCCTGTAGGTAGAAAGGTTCCGGGAAGAACTAGCCCACTAACACTTTCATTTCAGTTCTGTGAGACTTACTTTCAGACTTCTGAACTCCAGAACTAAGAAAAAATATATCTGTGCTGTTTTAAGTCATCAAATACGTAGTAATTTTCCACAGCAGCAAAAAAGAGATTTGAATGTTTTCAATATAATTCCTTTTTGTTTTTCTCACTCATGACCTTCCCTATATTGTTTGGTTCTCCTTGAAACACTTCCCAGGACATGTCTGTCAATTCTACCCAGTGTTAAAGGCCCAGCCTCGATGTTCTCTTCTCCCCAAAACCTCATGAACTGTCCACTCATCCTATTTTCTTTCATTGGGTTCTTTGAGGCTGAGGTCTGTATCTTTTCTGCTGCTCATCAGTTCCCAGTTTATGGATCTTCTACATATTAGGCATATAGATTCACTGACTGAATGACTTGAAGAATGTCACCATAAACTAGACATATGTCCAGTAATAATGTATAAAATAGTTGATATTGCATGTAAAAATATGAAAAAAAATTTTAAACGTACATTTGCGACTTCATGTGATCCATTTAATATCTGTTCCATGTAATGATTTAGATCGCTGAATCTTTTGTGATCTGAATTTGTAAAAGGTAAATGCCACCAGTGAGGAAACCTATTTTAAAAGAAAAAAAAAAGTGTATCGTAATTAGTTTGAAAATTGGCATCTGCATCTTAGGATTGCTCATGAAATAACAGCTACCAGATGGAAGTTGCCGATGGGAACGTGTGAGCACATTTGAAAACCTTAATCAGATAATTTACGTGATTAGTCCCAAGCATTTCGTTAACATGGCTCTGGTCACTTGTGCTATTTTAACTGTCATTAATATTTATATTAATTTAACATATTTAATTTATATGTTTCTTCTTACTGTATTCATGGCAGACCATGCATTTTGTCCTTTAAATACATGTGGGGGGGTTGCTCATTTCAGCAGTAGATGCGCTAAAATTGGAATGATACAGAGAAGATCAGCCTCTGTGCAAAAATGACACACAAATTCGTGAGGTGTTCCACGTTTTAAAAATAAATAAATAAAATAAATAAATACGTGTGGGAGGTTAATACCTTCTGAAGTGAATTTAATTTTTCAAAAGGTTCAGATTGTATTGTTTTTTCTGGATTCATTAGAGACATTGTCACATTAACTAAATTAAATATTTTACCGAGTGACATATGCTTCTGTCTGGGATTAGACAAAGTGACACTTCCCCTAAAAGTCTGACCTGGAGAATTTCCTCTGCTTTATCTGATGGTTCATCTTAATGCACTGAACTTGACTGAGACCAATTATTGGGTGTGATGACCAGCTAATGGGTAGCATTTGGCAATGCATTTTGCTATTGAAATATATCTTTTAGGGAACTACCCAGCGGTTTCATCTGACTGCTGCCTTGTTCACATATATGCTTCTCTGTAGAGACCAAGGTTGGCTGTCATTCCTCCAGGGGAAATGAACAAGGGGATAGTAAATGGCTGTCAGCAAAGAAGGCACAAAAGAATGTGACAACTTCATGCTACCCCACACTCTGGCTCCTGTTAGAAATCACGGGGATGTCCAAAATTCTTTAAGTTTACAGTGAACTAATTAACATTTTTACTTAAAAAAAATTTACAGCTCTAAAACTTAAAGGACTCAAATTTTTCATCCAGAGTTAGTTATCATGAAAACAAATACCAGTACAAAGTAATCAGAAATTTCACATGGAATATATCTTTTTTTGGTGTGTATGTAATTGTGTATAGTATATAGTAACATTCTGGGGAAATGAATTTGATAAATGATGCATTAGGCTGGTTTTAAATATTAATTCATATATCTGTGAATGAATTTTCCCTATTGGTAGAATATTCTATTCTTTTTTAAATGTTTTTATAAATATATGTTCTAAAAAATCTTGGGTTTAAATAAGTACATGAAAGTTGAGGAATTTGGCCACAGTAACATCATTTAATTGTTTGAAATTTTTTGAGTTGTATGCCAAATATAGCACAGCACTCAGTTATAGAAAATTGTTATTATCATTATTATTATTTTTTTGGCTGGGGCTGGGTTTGAACCCGCCACTTCCAGCATCTGGGGCTGGCACCGTACCCTTTTGAGCCACAGGTGCCACCCTAGAAAATTATTTTTTACAATCTTTATCTGACAATGCCATCATGTCTTCCCTCAATTTCTGTTCAAAACAAAGATTATAAAACACTGTACTTGCAAATAAATTTGATATTCTGCCTGTGAGGTTAATTTATTTTCTCTACCAACACCGATATTTTGGTTTGCCCCTTTTTCTAAGAGAAGAGCCATGGGGGAAGCCAAAGAAGGACTCTTAAGAATGGAAGAAAAAGTATCCAGTGTACACAGCCCTATTTTGAAACTAATTTATAGCTTTCATAGGAACGTTATAACCTAATTATAGCCTTAGAATATGGGAAGGGGGGTGGGAAAGGGGAGGAGAGGGGGATGGATGGGGGAAAGAGAGAATGATTGGAGGGGTCGCCTCTATGGTTTATCCTACAAGGGCACAAGTCAATCTTTCTAAAAGCAGAGTATGAATGTCTTAACTCAATAACTAAGAAAATGACATGAAGGTTACATTAACCAGTTCGATGAGAGTATTTCAAAATGTATATGAAAATACCACACTGTACCCTGTGATTGCATTAATCTACACAACTATAATTTAATAAAAAAAACTAACAACAAAAAAAGGAAATTTAGTCTTCTACCAGCAGATGAAGGTGATTTATTTTAAGAAATATTTTCATGTCTGTGTACTCTTGGGTGGGATCTGCAAGTACAAATAGCTGAATTAGATGACCACTGTTATGTGCTATGGCCAGTTAGAATTTTATTCTTCATATCTCTAGGTTTCTGATCATAGTTTCTGATTGAATTTACATAACTCTCATAGGGCCTCTCTCAGTAAATTTAGGAATCTGAGGAAATCTTGCCCTCATCCTTCATTCATGTGCATCGCTGTAAGCCTTGGCTGATTTGGGAGTATGAGGGTACAGACAGTGTGCAGGGCACACAGGACTAAATGTTCCTCGCCTCTGCAGATTGCTTACACAGTTTGAAAATCAATTCGGTATCATTGCTAGGCAGCAGTTGTGAGCAAAGCAGAATCCTAACAAAAGCTGAAAATTGAGAAGAGGCCCATGGAGAGAGCCCTTAGCACTTTCAAAGTTTTACGAGTTATACAGGTACGTGTTGGAGAGGTACAGTGTAGAACAGAGATATTTTTGAAACAAAAACGGATAGCCGTTAAACAAGAGTTAATTTCTACTCCTAAATGATTCATTAGTAGGGTACAATGGCAACCACTTGTGTTGAATTCAGTATTTGCAGCCAAACTTGGAAATTTTTTGCCTGTGCTTCTTCTTTCTCAGTTACCCGATCAGATATATATTTTTTGATAATCCTTAAACCTAATGTTACTTCTAGATGCTTCCAGAATGACTTCATCACCCTCTCAGTCTCCTGAACATGCTCTGACTCTCATCACTTGAATTTCTTGACTGGCTGATAGTTACAGCATCTGTATTTCAAAATCTATATGAAATCTGCCAGTACAGCTTTTTATCATGAACGTGAACTACTCAATGTTCAATATTGCAAAATATCACCTCATCTATTGATAGCACTTTTATATTTATACTTTGGAAGCTGACTAAACCCTGAAGGCCAAGGACAGACTTACATATGCAGAGTATGCCAGGTAAATAGGAACATTTCTGTTGCAAAAAGACCACTTACTTAACAAAAAATTCCCACTGTAGATAAAATAACATTAGATTTATCTGAGTGCCAGTATTTTGAGTTCTGTAGAGCTCACCTTTTTAAAGTTAAGATCGTGTCTTTGTTACATCTGTACATTGATGTCTATTATCTAAATTTGACTGGTTCTAAGTGATGAATTTTAGAAGGTTTATTTGGGTGGTAGCTATTTTTATGATATTTGTTCGCTTATGTTGAATAGTTTTTCCATTATGGCATGAGTAGAAACAACAATTTTCAAGATGGATTTAAAGTGAACATAATAAGAAACTGAATTTAGATAATTCAAGGTTTTTTTTTTAAATCTTTTGCCTTTTACTAAATTCAGTTAAGTATATGGTTGAATGAAGAAGGTAAATTAAATGTTCTTCATCAGCTGCCAGACTAGTGTGTTCAGATATCTGATTATTTTTTAAATGAATGTGTTTTTACTCAAAATATGCTTTGATTTTTTTTATTACATTTTATCAGATTATTTGCACGCATTCCATAGTGTCTTCAAATGGTCAATTTGCCTTTGGGAATAGGTTTAGGCCACCTTCATAAATAATAGGGCCTTTTGGGGGGTGGCTGATGAGTTGCTGGTCTGAAATTAGATGTGAAATAAAACTTCTCGCCAACACTAATATTTTCAGGTAAAAGTATAAAGCCACATATAGAAAATGAACTAATTTTTTTTCTGTTCCATATCCATCTACTAAGCACCTACTAAGTGGTGGGCCTATATCAGACACAGCAAGACAACTGTGAAGAAGAGAGACACATTCCCGTTTTTAGGACTGTGCATCATTGTGGGGAAAGAAAAGCAATATGTATAAAACCAAAGAGACGGTGATTTAGGATGAGGTACAATTTTAGATAGGGAGTTCCTAGGTTTTCTGAGATAATATTTGAGTATCTTTAAAGGATGTGATAGAGGACCTGTCAACATATGGAGCAGTTTGCAGGAGGAGGGAGAAGCAGGCACAAAATCCCTAAGATAATAAAATATTTGGTATATTTGAATGGATATTTTTTAAGTCAGGTGGCTAGAGCAGAGATGAAAAGGGGTTAAGGTGACTTCAGAGGAACAGACCAGAGGTCATTTAAACCTTTGCAACTACATTAAGAAGTATGATTCTTCATCTGGGTGTTATGGGAAGCCATCAGCTAGTTTCTTGAGGTGTATGACAGAAACTGAAAATTTTTTAATGAAGATTTCTCTGGCTATTAACAAGGTTTCCTCCTTGACAAAACTTTACTCAGGTACTTCTGGGCCCTTTCCTTCAATAGACCTCAACCTTTGCCTATAATAAATACAGACTCTCCCTAAAAGCAATCACAGCAACAACCAAAATTAACAAATGGGACCTGATTTAGGTAAAAGGCAACTTTACAGACAAAGAAATAATCAACAGAGTGATGGACAGCCTACAGAATGGGAGAGGTAATTCAAGGTTTATAATAATTTAAAAGTCAATTAACTAATGACAGCAAAAGTGAGTTATTAATATACTAGTTGATATTAATACATTCAACATCTTTTTCTAGTCCAGAAACTAAATAGATGAGGCTGTTTACTATAGTTATTTGTTGAAAGAGTAGCTATATCCAATTTTGTTTTGCATTTTCAATTTCAATTGTTTTTATAAGAAAAAAAGGGGTGGCACCTGTGGCTCAATGGAGTAGGGCGCTGGCCCCATATACTGGAGGTGGTGGGCTCAAACCCAGCCCCGCCCAAAAAAAAACTGCCAAAAGAAAAAAGAGAAAAAGCTAAGAGAATTAAATTTAAAAATAGGCAAATCAAATGATTTCCCCAATAACTGATGAAAATGAAATAGCATTTGAATTTTTCTGTCTACAAAATCAATGGCTGGAAGTAAAAAGAAATTTGCAAACCTTGTTCTGCTTTATGAAACAAAAGATTCTTTGCTCTGAGAGCCATTCAGACTCTCTGTGGGGAAAGGTTCAGTGGCATTGGAGTTGCAATACTGTGTTGCTCACAAATAGAAATCCCATAACCATAAGTTTTCCTTTTGCTCAGGGACCAGGACTGAAGGCAAAACAACGTAAAAGGACAGTGCCTTACTCTGGGAGAGTCAGGGACGGAAACTGCTTCTGAAGCTGGCTATGTAGTCTTGAAAACTGGTCCAATGATTTTTCGGTCAGGCTTGTTTCATGGTTACTCTGTGTCACTTGGATCAGATACAGCTGCAGAAAGTAAGGAGACACGAATCAAAGCCAGCAGTATCACCTTGCAATACAGTCTACAATCTGATTTCATGTGAACTCCACAAAGCAAGAGACTTTCCACAAAAAAAATTATCAGTAAAGCTAAGAGATGCAATTTGTAGAGGCAAAATTACCTGTAAACACAATTTATAAAGATATCATAATCTCCCGTGCTGGGAACAGGCTGCCTAATTCCTGCTGTTCTTTTCTTGTGGACACTTTAATTAGCTCTTGATTCATCTTCTACCACAGGGCAGGAGCTGCTCTCTTTGATGGTTCTCTACTAATAGCTCTCCTTGTTATGATTTTTCCTTAGAACATTCTCTTAATGGCACTTCTGCTTAGAGTGTAACCGATTTTTCATTTGCATAGTGAAAAAAATCATACCATGGGGAAAAAATGTGTAGCGTTGTGAAGAGAAATCTGAGAGGAAGTCAAGTGATACTTAAGTCAAGGTGATGGACTGTGGACTTACGTTAGTGGGTTTCTTGCTGAACCCTAAAATCGTTGCTCGTTGAATGGACCTGGCTGTACTTAGCAGACAGGACTCCTGCGGAAAAGTCTGGGAAGTAGGTTTGGCAGGGCTTATGGTTGACATCTGTGCAAGTGTGTGGATCAAGTTATTCAACTTAACAGGGAAGCACTCCAGACTTTCCTTTATTTTCCTAGAGAAACGACAAAGAAAAGAAAGTAACCTTCCCTTGCCTCAAATCACTTCATTGATGATCTGTTTCCTTGGGTATGTTAGTTGTGGGAGGGAAAGCCAAAAACTGTGTATTATTTATTTGGAGTCCAATTATGAAATGTTACCTATATAAACTTGAAGTTCATGTCTGGAGTTGTTAACAGATATATAAGAAAGTCTTGCGATGAAATATAAAACCATAATTGTAATATTGTATTTTTACTTTCTTTAAGGTTTGTTTTATTTTGTTGCCTATTTTAAAGAACACGTTTTCCCCTTAAATTATAGTTTATAATTATTTAAAATATATATGTGATTCCAGAATTTAAATATACAAAATACTGTACATTTACACAAGCCTAGCAGCTCTTCCCTGCTCTCAGCCCTATTTCTTCCCTTCTAAATAGTATTTCAACAGTTCTGAAAATTATGGCTCAATTTTTATTATTTAATTTTTTATTTTAATTTCATTTTTGTATGTAGTTAGGCTTCTCCCCCAATTATTTTAGGAAAAAAGTATCATATGCTAAGATGACATTTAATATACAAAACCTTTTCACTCTGGTCTTTTTTTGTTTGTTTGAGGTTTTTTATTGGCATCTCTGTTTTTTAGTTTTTTTTTTTTAATTTAAGAAGGTTTGCATTCTAATGGTGTAACATTATTTTTATACAATTTCTTTTATCTCTTCTTTTTTTGAGTTGTTTTCTATATTTTCTATTCATTCCCTACTAAGAGCAGTATTGAAATTAACTAGGTATTTACCGTATACTTCTGTTCTCTCTTTCCTATATCATATCATCCTTTTAATCTCAGTTTTATAAGGCAGAAGTGCACTTTCCTTTTCACGTCTTTTCTTTTTTGAGGCAGTCTCACTCTGTGCCCTGAGTAGAGTGCTGTGATGTCATAGCTCACAGCAACCTCAAAATCTTTGGCCCAAGTGATTCTCTTGCCTCAGCCTCCCACGTAGCTGGGACTACTGCTGCCCTGCACAATGCCCAGCTATTTGTAGAGACGCAGTCTCACTCTTGCTCAGGCTGGTCTCCAACTCCTAAGCTCACGTGATCCAGAGTGCTAGGATTACAGGCATGAGCCACCCTGCCCAGCTCATTTACTAACTTTTCATTTGTGCTTCCCAGCCCCACTTCCACTTTTTATGGAACTCTTCTATGTACTTGGTGCAGTGAGTACACAGTGCACACCATGCAGTGTCTCTTACAACCTTCATTTAATCATAAACTCTCCACCAGTCCTCAAATCCACATTCCTCGAGTCACTTTGATCATCGGAAACTCATTCTCTAGTAAATCCATCAGTAAGTGGTCAAAGAAACAAGCTTCAGGGTTTTTGTATGTTAACAACAGTTTGTGGCCTTTCAAAAGTCAGTTTGACTGGATACATTCTTTTTCGAGTGCTATAAAGATATTATTTCTTTTTCTGTATAATAATTACTATCCAAAACTTTGATGGTAAAGTAAGCAACATCTTTCTCATATAAGCAAGTTGGTCTACTTGCTTACATGTTTAAATAAAATGTAATTTTCTTCAGAGTCCAATAATTTTTCTAAAATATGTTTCAGTATTGGTTATTCTGGGTAATTTTTCTGAATATGTGGTCTGCCCTCTTACTACGGAATTTTGAGCTTTTTCATTTTCCAGAAAATTTTTCTTAGATGATGGTGTTAATGTTTATTAAGATGCTAAACGTACAACTTACCTTCAATACAGGTTTAATAAATTATTGGGTTTTCTTTTTTAGGAGCTTTTATTACGTGTGTGCTGTCTCTTCATTGTCTGTCTTCATTTCTTTTTTATTTTGAAGGTCCTCTCTTTTTTCATGTTTTTCTCTTGAGGCATTATGTTTGGTATTATCTTTATTCACTCCTGTGTTCTTTCACTGCTCATAGTTTTTAAAACCTTTTTTTTTCTTTTTTTTTGAGACAGAGCCTCAAGCTATTGCTCTGGGCAGAGTGCTGTGGCATCACAGCTCACAGCAATTCCCAACTCCTGGGCTCAAGCGATTCTCCTGCCTCCGCCTCCCAAGTAGTTGGGACCACAGGTGCCCACCACAATGCCCAGCTATTTTTTGGTTGTAGCCGTCGTTGTTTGGTGGGCCCGGGCTGGATTCGAACCCACCAGCTCAGGTGTATGTGGCTGGCACCTTAGCCGCTTGAGCCACAGGCACTGAGCCAATTTTTAAAACTTTTATTTCCAATTCTTTTTCAGATTCAATCACCTCAATTCTGAGATTTCCTAACTGTGGTATACGTTATTCCTTCATAGCTTTATCATTTTCTGATATTTTTTAGTTTAATTTAAAATAAAACCATACAGTTTATCCCTTTGTTGGGCTTGTCTTTCTGGTGTACTTTCATTGTAGGGCTATTCTCTTTTGCTTGTTACAATTTTATATGGCATTCAACCATGGTCTATCTTACTTGCTCACTTAAACATGAAATTAGTATTCCTGAACTTTCAGAACAGAGTAGAAGAATTTCTAAGGCCTGGGATTTCTTTTTCTGTTGCTGTCACATAATGATAAAAAATGTACAGTTACATACTTCCTGCCTTCTTTCATCTATTCCTTCCTGAATTTTTGGACTTTGATTTTTCCCTTTGTTCTTATTGTCTCTTGTCCTCTTAGTTTGGATAATAGGCTCAACAGTTTTTCATCAGTGTGAGACATTTCCCTGAGAAAGGAGCTCCAGTTACCTTTGAGAGTTCATAGATTTCTCTGATCATTTCAGATTTACCATAGAACCCTCGCCTTTCCCTCTGAATTTGAATGGGCAGCAACCCCTCCCAGTTTCAGCTGCTGTTTTCAAATTGTCTTGCTTAGCTTCTTGTATATATGTATTCCTACATAATAACATATATATATATGTATTCCTACATAATAACTTTTGGAGCATTGTTCTCCGTACACTCAGTACCATACAGTACAGAAACCCGTGGTGTCCCTTAGCTTCCTTCTATCCAGATGCTGACAGGTCTTGCAACTATTAATGGTTTGCCCCCACCTGCTCAAATTTCAGGGTTCTTGGGTATACTTTGTTATCTAGTTTGGTTGTCTATGTTTCAGAGTTTGCTATTCTCGTTGATCTTTTTGTTTTATAGAAGAGATTTAGGAACATGAAAAACTTTATTGACTTTTTATGATACATATTCAAGCAACTCAGAAAAATATAAAGTAAAATTGGAAAGATTCCCTTTTTATTTCCTCCATGGGAGGAGACTGTTCCTCCCCAGAAATTAGCACTGCAAACAATTTGGTATTCTTGAGCTTTCTCTAAACATTCTCTATACAGACATGCACACACACAGATGCACACGTGCACACACACAGTATGGACTCCTACTGTATGCCAGGTACTATTCTAGTAATGGGATATGACCATGAGCAAAAGAGACAGAAATTTTTACCCTTATAGGGTTTACATAATGTGAAATTCAGATCATAAGAATATAATCCATGAATGCACAGGATTTGAGATGTTAATATGTTCTATAAAGGAAAACAAAATGGGAAGTGGGGAGAGGACATACAGGGAGAGGTAATAGTGCTACAATTTTAAACAGGATGTTCAGGGATAATCTTACCAAAAAGATGAGTTGAATGATTTGACAAAGACCTTAATTTGCTAAGAAAATAGGCCTAGGGAATTTCTGATGAAACACATTTGAGGCAGAAGCAACAGCTCGTTCAGAAGCTCAGAGGTAGATGAATGAGTAGAGTGTTTAATGAACAGTAAAGAACAGCCGTGAGGCTGACACAAAGTGAGGAGACAAGGAAGGGAACCAGAGAGATGAAAGAGGCGCAATGTTGTCAGGACTTTGATGTCATATAAAATGAGACCTAGAGACAAATCGCAATTTTATGTAATGTTGTAATTTGATTTTTTAACTCAGTAATATATATTTTGTAAGAAAAATGTTATAGTGACTGGTGCATAGTAAGTGGCCTCAAAATATTTGTTGAATGAATGAATAATCTTTCTAGTTTACATCATAGCATTGACTCATGTATTTTTTTTTCTTTATTAAATCATAGCTGTGTACATGAATGCAGTCATGGGGTATGATGTGCTGGTTTTATATACAATTTGAAATATTTTCATCAAACTGGTTAACATAGCCTTTATGGCATTTTCATAGTTATTGTGTTAAGACATTTCTATTCTACATTTAGTAAGTTTCACATGTATCCTTGTAAGATGCGCCATTGTAGGTATGGTCCCACCAGTTACCTTCCTTCCACCTGACTCATATATTTTTAATGGCCACTCGGTTTCTGGAATTATACATACACAATGATTAATTTAGCCTTTTTTTCTGTTAAATTGCAAAGCCTTTTTCTTTTACTGTTCAACTTTGTTCAATACCAAGGTTTGTACATGCCCAGGCCTGTTTCTGGCCACCTCATTTTGTTGCATTTGTCTGCCTCTGTGTCAATGTTATACTACTTTATTTTTTTATTTTTTTTGAGACAGAGCCTC